TCATGGATCAGCATCAATTTATCAAAGAAAACATTGAGCCTTTGTTTTTTTGGGATTGGCTTACTCACTTAGCATGATATACTCCAACACTATGCATTTATATGCAAATGTCATGATTTTATTCTCTGTTAATGCTGAGTAATATTTCATTGTGTATATATACCAGTTTCTTTATCCAGTCATCTATTGAAGGGAATCTAGGTTGCTTCCACAGATTAGCTATTGTGAATTGTGCTACTATAAACATTGATATGGTTGCATCACTCTAGAATACTGTTTTTGAGTCCTTTGGGTATAAAGGAGTAGGATACCTGAGTCAAATGGTGGTTCCATTCCAAGTTTTCTAAGGAATCTCCATACTGCTTTCCAGATTGGTTGTGCTAGTTTGCAGTCCCACCAGCAATGTATGAGTGTGCCCTTTTCCCCCGCATTATTGACAACACTTGTTGTTGCTTGCATTCTTAATAGCTGCCATTCTGACTGGAGTGAGAAGAAGTCTTAGTTTTGATTTGTATTTCTCTAATTGTTAAGAGATGTTGAACATTCATTCATATATTTGTTATTGATTATATATCTTCTTCTGAGAAGTGTCTGTTATGTTCCTTAGCCCATTTATTGACTGGGTTATTTGTTCTTTTAGTGTTAAGTTTTTTTGAGTTCTTTATGTATCCTGGAGATTAGTGCTCTATCTTATATGTCTATGGTAAAAAGTTGCTCCCATTCTGTAGGATCTCTATTCACCTCACTGTTTATTTACTGAGAAGAAGCTTTTCAGTTTGAAACCATCCCCTTTATTGATTCTTAATTTTATTTATTGCACTTTAGGAGTCTTGTTTAAGGAAGTTGGGGCCTAACCCAACAAGATGAAGATTTGGGCCTACTTTCCCTTCTATTAGGCATAGAGTCTCTGGTCTAATTCTAAGTCCTTAATACACTTTCAGTTGAATAATGTCCTTTTTCAATGCAAAATACATTCATTGCCATCTCATCAGCTAAAACATCTTAAACAGTCAAAATGGTACACTCAAAATTCTTAATCCAAATTCCATAAGGTATTGGTGAGACTGATCCTGCAGTAAAACTTCTTTCCAGATGTGAATCTGAGAAAATGATTACTTTCAAATACATTGAATGGGCAGGAACATAATAACTATTTACATTCCAAGAGGGAGAAACTGGAAAGAAGCAAAGAGTCATATTTCCTAAGCATGTCCAAAACCTAATAGGAAAAATCCTATTTTAAATTTTAATTTGAAAATAATCTTTTATATTCTGATCTTTGGTCCCACCATATAGCAGTCCCACCTTCTTACCTCACTGGATCTGGATGGCAGAAAATACCCTTCAGTTTTGGGCAGCAGCACTATTCCTCAGCCATAGACATTAGCCATTCCTCGGACACAATTATTACCCATGACCATGAGCAGCAGCCCTACAAATGAATTATCAGGCAGTTACAAACTGACCTTCTGAAAATCAAGTGGTGCCTCAGTCCTTGAAATGAGCAAGGCTTATATGACTGTGAACTCCAGGTTCTTGATGTCAGTAACATTTACAAACTACTTCTAGGGTCATTCTTTATCTTTTTTGAAAGATATGTTTTATCTTTGCAGGAGGAAAATTCTAATGCCTAATAATGAACCTCAGAAGTTCAACAACCTTTCTTCATTTTCCCTGTAAGTTTCAATTTTAGTTCAAGCTGGCATAATCTCTGTAGTTATACCTGATCACCATTCCTGGATTTGACTGTGGAGTCTACTTAGATCCATGGATCAAATATGTAATATTTTTATCAAATAGTTTTCTGGCCATACCTTTGGAGTTTTTAATAAAATTAACTTTCTCATTTTTTATACAAAACGGATGAGCTGAAAAATTTCCAAATCTTCAAGTTACAGTTCTGTTTTATTTAATACTTCTTGTAATATATCTCTCTCCTCTCACATTTTACTATAAGTGTCAAGGAAAAATAGCCTAAGCCTTCAACATTTTGCTTAAAAACTGTCTCAGCTGAATATACATGTTCACCATTTATAAGCAATATAATATAATTTAGCCATTTTTGCCACTTTTTAGTACGATCACTATATCTCTAATTTCTGATAATATCTTCCTATTTCCACCAGATATGTCATAAGGATCATTTTTTAATTTTTTTAAATTTTTATTCTATGTTTTACATATGACAGCAGAATGCATTGCAATTAATATGACCCATATAGATCACAATTTTTCATATTGCTGGTTGTATATAAAGTATATTTACACCATTGATGTTTTCATAACATGTACTTAGAGTAATGATATCCATCTCATCCCAACATCTTTTTTACCTCCATGTCTTCTCCCTTCCCCTCCCACCCCTTTTCCCTATCTACAGTTTGTCTAATCCTCCCATGCTCCCCCTCCCTACCCCACTATGAATCAGCCTCCTTATACCAGAGAAAACATTTGGCAATTGGTTTTTGGGGATTGGCTTACTTCACTTAGCATTATATTCTCCAACTCCATCCATTGACCTGCAAATGCATGATTATATTCTCTTTTAATGCTGAGTAATATTCTATTATGTTTATATACCAGCTTCTTTATCCATTCATCTATTGAAGGACATCTAGGTTGGTTGCACAGTTTAGCTATTATGAATTGTGCTGCTATAAACATTGATGTGCTGAATCCCTGTAGTATGCTGTTTTAAGTGCTTTGGATATAGACTGAGGAGTGGGATACCTGAATCAAATGGTGGTTCCATTCCTAGATTTCCACAGAATCTCCATATTGCTTTCCATATTGGCTGCACCAATTTGCAGTCCCACCAGCAATGTATGAGTGTGCCTTTTCCCCCACAATCTCCCCAACATTTATTGTTGTTTGTGTTATTAATAGCTGCCATTCTGACTGGAGTGAGATGAAACCTTCATTTTGTAATCAAAATTCAGAAAATAGAAAACAAAAAGAAAATTGTGATTAAAGCCAGAAGAGGAAAAATCAACTTATATATGGGGGAACAATAATGAGAATTTACTATAATTCTTTTCAGAAACCATGCAAACAAGAGAATAGAGTGAAATATTTTAAATATACATTTTTTAGTTGTAGTTACACACAATACCTTTATTTTATTTATTTATTTTTATGTAGTGCTCAGGATCAAACCCAAGGCCTCACATGTACTTGGCAAGCACTCCACCACTGAGTCACGACCCCAGCCCTAGAGTGCAATATTTTAAATGTTAAAAGAAATAAAGAGAATCTAGAAGTTATTGTCTAGCAAAAATCATCCTTTAAAAGTGAAGAAGATACTGGGAGTGGTGGGGCATGCTTGTAATCCTAGCGGCTCTGGAGGCTGAGGCAGGAGGATCACAAGTTCAAACCCAACCTCAGCAACTCAGTGAGATACTATCTCAAAAATTATATATATATATATATATATATATATATATATATATATATATATATATATATAGCTGGGAATGTGGCTCAGTGGATAACTGCCCATGGATTCAATCCTCAGTAACAAAAAAAAAAAAAAAAAAGATTTATAATACAAGCCAAAGCTAAGTGAATTTGTCATCAATTTGTCATCAGTGTTATCTAAATTGCACCAAAGAGCTAAAATTATTTTTTGGAGAAGTGGAAAATTACATATTTCAGATATTTTCAGACAGATAAAGAAAGGAAGACAAGTAGAGAACTAAATGAAAGCAAATAAAATATGTGTTTTATTATTATTAATTGATCAAAGAGAGTTTGAAATACATTTGGTGATTTCACCATACAGACAAGTTAAGAGGATATAATCAATATTATAAGAACATGGAAGAAATTTAATGGCTGCTAGAAGGAGTCTATACTATTTGTAATGCAATATAATGTGAGCTCAGAACAGTCTTGTCTTAGATTACTTGTAAATGTATATATGACAATCAAGGCAAGAACTAAAAATAAACAAAAATGCATAATTCGTCCAAAATTAGAGGAGAAAGATGAAATGATATAAAATGCTCAATGAAAACCACTGAAGGCAGAAAAAAAGGGGGTGAATAAAGATATAACGAACAAGACTAATTAATGGAAAAGAGTTATAAATGTGACAGATTATTAATCTGAATATAATCACTTTATGAATTTTGCAAACAAACTAAATAAATGAGAGGGTCTGAAGTACTAAATAATGAAAAAAACAGAGAAATATATGCTGCTGAAAAGAAATCCATTTCAAATATAAAGTGACAAATATATTAAATTTAATGGAATTAAGAAAGATATATCATACTTCCATTAATCTAAAGAAAGCTGCTAAAGAACTAAAAATAAGAAACTAAAAGAAAGCTGCAGAGTTTTCAATAAGATAGAAGGTGATGGGCTGGGGATATAAGTCTATTGGTAGAGTGCTTCCATTGCATGCACAAGGCACTGGGTTCTTCCCCAGCACCACAAAATAATAAATAAATACAAGAAATTAAATGTTTAATTTCTTTAAAAAAGAAAAAAGATAGAAGGTTGTGAAATTTGAGGTGGAGATTCCTTCATGGAAATACCAAGAAATTCATATATTTTAAATATTTATGTAAATAATAAATATATATTTATATATAACTTTATATAAATATAAAATATTTATAACATGATATCTTGTAAAAATCCTGGAAACATGTTGAGAAGCTGCAGGACCCAAATAAATGCTTATCCAACAGTGATATGTGGCTTTTATTTTTCCAACCGCTTCATACAGTAAATTTTTCAATTCAGTCATTATGCTTTTCAGGTCCAGAATTTCTTTTGCATATTTTTAAAAGTAATGTGTATATTTTTGATATTTCCACTTTTTTCATATATTATTTTCTTGATTTTGTGTAGTAATTTGTGTTTTCATTTAGCTTATTAGCGATATTTAAGATAGTTGTTTTATAATAAATCCTTAAATTTAAACTGAAGTAATGCTGTATGACTAAAAGCCATAAAAAAACAGTTTTTTAGTAAAGTTAATATGTGTATGGGTACTTGCTTCAGTAGCACATGTTCTAAAATTGGAATAATACACAGAAGATTAGCATGGCCCCTGCACAAGATGATATACAAATTCATGAAGTGCTTCATACTTTTTTATTAATTAAAGCTAGTATTAAAATATGTTATGGGTGTAAGATTCTATACAATTTTAATTTTGGTTTGTAATTTTACATTTAATCATTTTATGGGATTCAGAATTAAAAGCATGAGTGGCTGGGATTGTGGCTCACTGGCAGAGGGCTTGCCTCACGTGTATGAGGAACTGGGTTCGATCCTCAGCACCACATAAAAATAAATAAATAAAATAAAGATATTGTCTGTATACAACTAAAAAATATTTTAAAAAATAATTAAAAGCATGAAATATCAATAAATCTACTAAAGTGTATTATATGTATATATTATGTAATTTTTAATATAAATAACATGTTGGGGGGGTCAGTAGTAAAAAGAAAGTTGTAGGCAATTCAGTTAAACTGTTAATAATTTGATATAATTAATAATTTGATGACATTGGAATATGTTATGTAGACTCATAGTAATAACAAGGAAAATGCCTAAAGGAAATACACAAAAAGAAATGAGAAGAGAAATAAAAATTGTGACTTTAAAAATAAACCAAATATAAGGCAAGTAGTAAAAGGGGAATGAAAGATAAAAGAAATGATACCAGACATAAAGAAATTATGAACAGGATGACAATAATAATTCATGTCCTTTAAAATGAGTGAATTAGGGCCGGGTTGTAGCTCAGCGGCAAAGCTTTTACCTCACATTTGTAAAGCCTTGGGTTTGATCCTCAGTTCCAATAAAGAAAAAAAAAACATAAATAAATAAATAGATAGATAGATGAAAGAAATTAATTACAATCACATTCAAAATTCATAGATTGCTAAAATTAATAAAAAAGTTAAGTTCAATTGTATACTATTTGATTCACCTTAGATTTAAAGAAAAATGTGATTCACGTTAGACTGAAAGAAACACATAAAGCAGAGGAAAGAAAGGATATTCCCTGGAAAGTGTAACCAGTAGAATTCAGGGAAATTATTCTAATATAAGACACAATAGATTTCAAGGTAAAAATTGTTATGAGAGAAAGGACAAATTTTGTAATGACAAATAGTTTCAGCATTATCCTGATGCTAAAATAATAATATACAGGACTGTAAAAGAAAGTAAACACATTATCCCTGTGGAATACTTATGCAAAATCTACAAATACTATAAAAAAAAGAATTCAATGAAATATTTACAAGATTACCCTCCATAGTTAAATGGGATTGATTATTGGCAAGCATAATGGTCCAACATACGAAAAACAATCATTGCAATGCATAACATTGACAAAATGAAGGAACAAATAAGTGATAGTCTCAACTGAAGCAAAAAATTGCAAAAATTTAATAAATCTTCATGTTAAAAACACTCTACAAACTAGGAATAGAAACAAATTTCCTCAACAAAAATAAGGTTATATTTGAAAAGCCATTAACATCCTACTCAATACTAAAAACTAACAGTTTTTGTTAGGGTTAAGAAAAGAATATCCTCATTTACCACCTGCATTGAAAATGGTATTGAAATTTTAGATGGACAAATTTTATGTGTAAGAGAAATAACAAACATCCAAACCAGAAAGAAAGAATTAATATTATATCTATTCACAGACATCATAACCTTATCCATAGTATTTCTTAAAGATTCTCTTAAGGGGGTGGGGTTGTAGCTCTGTGGTAGAGGTCTTGCCTCACATGTGTGAGGCATTGGGTTTGATTGTCTGCACCACATAAAAATAAATAAATAAAATAAAGATATTGTGTCTATCTACAACTAAAAAAAATTAAAGAAAAAAGTTTCCTTCCGGATGTCATTAAAAATGTACACTTATACATGATTAGTTGGACTACAAATTAATACAACTACTTTGGAAAGCAATATAGAGATGCTTCAAGAGAGTAGACGTGAATATGACCCATCTATTCCATTCCTTGGTATTTATCCAAGAGAAATCAGCATATTATAGTGATAAAAGCACATCAATGTTAATAGCAGTAATAGCAAAAAAATTCACAACCAAACCAGGTACCTATCATCAGATGAATGGATAAAGAAAATATGATATATATATATATATATATATATATATATATATATATATATATACACACAAAATCAAGTTTACTCAGTCATAAATAATGAAATTATGTCATTGGCTGGCAAACGGATAAAATTGTGAAATAGTATACCAAATGAGTATGATGAGTTTAGCCAAACTCAGAAAGTAAAGTCATGTTTTCTCTTATATGTGGAAGCTAGAGAAAAGTCAAAAAATTAGGAATGTTTCCATGAAATTAGAAGGGAGATCCCTGAGTAAAAGAAGGTTATTGAGGGGGAAGGAGGAGGGAGAAGCAAAGAGAGGAATTGTTGAATAAATTTGATCAAATTATTCTATATACATATATAGATATAGTGCAGTGGTTTAACCAGTATGTTTATCTCTAAAGCACCTAGTTAGAAACAAATGATCAGTATATAGAAGGAAGACCAGTAGAGTAAAACAAAATGGTAACTGGGAGAGGGACAAGAAAAAGGAAAGAGGAAGTAGTGGGGACTAAAATAGAGCAAATTATATCCCCTGCATACATTATTATGTTCAAATTACTCCCACTATTATGTATGTGTAACACAGTAATAAAAACATAAAAATTTACTCCCAAAATGTTATTATTAATAAATAAATTTATGATTTGTTGCATAATAACTGACAGTTAATCATTCAAAGAAAGGAAATAAAGAAAATTCCATGTAGAAAGAAATTAATTAATAAATTGAAAAGACTTATGTTCATGAATTGATAGTTAATACTGTAATGAAGTCAATACTACTCAAGGTAATCTATAGATTTATTGCAATTATTGTTCAAATCTCAATGATAATTTTTTTGAGAAATTTAAAAAATTAAACTAAAATTGACATAGTGTCATGGGACAAAAATGACAAAATAAAATCTTGAAAAAGTAGGAAAAAAATCAAGGTCCCACTTTCCTGACTTTAAAAAATCATATGCAAGGCTAGTAATACTGGCATAAATATACATACATAGAAAGATGAAATAGAGTAAAGGACCCAGGAATACTCTCATGAATATGGTCAGATGGTTTTTTACAAAGATATTGAGATGATTCACTGGGGGATGACCCATATTTTCAACAAATGATGTTGAGAACACTATATCACATGCAAAATAATGAAATTGGACCTTTGCCTTATACCACATACAAATTTAACTTAACATGTATTGAAGACCAAGACTAAAATAACTCTTAAGAAGAAAACACAAGGACAATTTTTATGCTATGTAATTTGTCAATAATTTCTTGATTATAAAGCCAAAATCACAAGCAATAAATGAAAAATAAATAGATAATTGGGAGAAGGGCAATATACTATTGTTTTTTAAAAAAGGCTACATAGCAAAGATACATAATCAACAAAGTGATATAGCAACTTAATATGAGTAAATATTTGCAGGCCATATATATGGAAAGCAGTTAATATTCAAAATATTTAAATAATTTCTAAAATTCATTAACCAAAAAATGCAAATGATAAAATTCAAAAGTAAGATCTAAAGAAGAGATATATAAACGGCCAAAAACATGAAAGATACTCAAAACCATGAAAGATACTCAAAACCACAAATATACTAGTAAAATTATGCTGCTATAACAAAAATATCATAGAGTGGATGGCTTAAAAAGCAATGTGAGAAATTTAAAAAACATAAAAACAAAAATCAAAAGGTGCAAAATCCTGTCATATGCTTCAATATATACAAACCCTGATGATATCATAATTACTAAAAGAAGTCAGTAACAAAATAATGAATACTATATGATTTAATTTACATGAAGTACCTATCTTTCATAGACCAATGCATAGATGCACATTTAGAATTCTTGTTGACAGGAACAAGACAAAACAAAATGTACAGTTTTGGTTTAATAAACATAGATTCAGTTTTTGTTTTTTTTGAAAATGAAAGTTTTGTTTATTTACTAAAATCAGGTTGTTGGAACTCTTACTCCTTTGAATTGAAGTAATTCTTATTTATTTATTTATTTAATTTTATTGGTTGTTCAAAACATTACAAAGCTCATGATATATCATCTTTCATACATTTGACTCAATTGGGTTATGAACTCCCATTTTCACCCCAAATACAAATTGCAGAATCACATCGGTTACACACTCACATTTTTACATAATGGCATATTAGTGACTGTTGTATTCTGGTACATTTCCTTTCCCCTACTATCCCCCCTCCCCTCCCCTCCCATCATCCCTCTCTACCTCATCTGCTATTGTTCAATTCTCTCCCTCGTTTCCCCCGCCTTTCCCCTCACATCCTCTTCTATGTAATTTTGTGTAACATTGAGGGTGTCCTACCATTTCCATATGCTTTCCCTTCTCTCTCCCTTTCTCTCCCCCCACTCGTCTTTGTTTAATGTTAATCTTTTCCTCATGCTCTTCCTCCCTGTTCTGTTCTTAGTTGCTCTCTTTATATCAAAGAAGACATTTGGCATTTGTTTTTTAAGGATTGGCTAGCTTCGCTTAGCATAATCTGCTCTAATGCCATCCATTTCCCTGCAAATTCTATGATTTTGTCATTTTTTATTGCTGCGTAGTACTCCGTTGTGTATAGATGCCACATTTTTTTTATCCATTCATCTATTGAAGGGCATTTAGGTTGGTTCCACAGTCTAGCTATTGTGAATTGTGCTGCTATGATCATTGATGTGGCAGTATCCCTATAGTACGCTCTTTTAAGATCCTCAGGGAATAGTCCGAGGAGGGCGATAGCTGGGTCAAATGGTGGATCCATTCCCAGCTTTCCCAGGTATCTCCATACTGCTTTCCAAATTGGCCTTACCAATTTGCAGTCCCACCAGCAGTGTACAAGTGTACCCTTTTCCCCACATCCTCGCCAACACTTATTGTTGTTTGAGTTCATAATGGCTGCCAATCTTACTGGAGTGAGATGGTATCTTAGGGTGGTTTTGATTTGCATTTCTCCGACTGCTAGAGAT